TTGGTCGTCGCCTTGTAGCGGTGGTAGCGCCCACACGCACCGTCGCTTGGCATGCTGATGTGAGATTGCCATTCAGGTCGAACCGCAAAAATTGGATCTTCCGGTTAGGCTGGGACAAAGGTATTTTTCCCAGTCACACAAGTTGGATCTCGCACTGCACATCAAGATGATTGCTCGTCTCGTTACATACTGCATCACAGCGCAAAAACTACGTAGTCGCTACGCCAGGGAGCCACTACCTGCTAGCCCTCAGCTATCCGTCATGCCTAAACAGAGACGAACAATGCTTCAATTCGCACATTGTACGAAAGATTCCGATGGATCGCTCTCTAACGTCTACAATGGCACCAGACAACACTGTACAGTCGACCATTCCTGATAGGAACGTTTAGTGAGGCACCAGCATCCCACGGGAGGAATTGGCTTCATTTATAGCAATGGGTTGGCCGAATTGACACAAGAGTTCTCCTGTTGTTGGTCCGTGACTGGGAAAAATACCTTTGTCCCAGCCTAACCGGAAGATCCAATTTTTGCGGTTCGACCTGAATGGCAATCTCACATCAGCATGCCAAGCGACGGTGCGTGTGGGCGCTACCACCGCTACAAGGCGACGACCAACGCCGTCTTCGAGTGGCTCCACCGAGCGACCAAGCCCAAGACTAAGAACGCCAAGCGCAAGGTCAAGAAGCACGGCGCGCGGTCGGCCGACGTCACCGAGTGGTCGGTCTCGCAGATCTACGCCGCTGCGCTCGAGGTCGTCGAGGCTGCCTTGCCCGTGCCCGCTGCCATCCTGCGCAAGCTCGGGACAGCCATCCGCCTGCGCCACCAGTACTCTCTCAAAATGGCTCCCGACGCCGGCCATACGCATGTCCTCAACACGCTTCGCGCGATCGAGGTCCAGTGGACGCCGCTGGTGCCCATCAAGACGCCCGCTCCGGTCAAGACGCCCACTTCCGTCGATGCAACTAGCGGTGAGATCAACTTGGCCAACGCCTTTGAGGCCCTCGCCACCGACGACGCCGATGACGACGCCGACGTGTGGGCGGAGACGCCGATGCCGCCGTTCGACATGACGACCTTTGTCGCGCCGGTCAGTGCTGCTGACGCAGCCCGCGCAGCGCTCCTGGCGCGTATCGAAGACGAGAAGTTCCAGTGCACATGCTTCATTCTTGACCTCGACGACCTGATGCACGAGGTCATGCTGGCCTGGA